CTAATCACTTCAAACATTCCATAATGAAAAATGAATTAATTGAAATCGCATCTTCGCAATGGGGAAAGCTACGTGATCTATATGCGAACAAAAGAATTTACTCTTGTTCTTATAATTTACTACAAACCTTAATCGATTGCGTGAAACAAACTGAAAATTTTGAAGTTGCAATATATGCTCTAAACGATGAGTGGGAAACTGATGGAACATTCATCGCCAAGGTAAGAGAAAATCCATAAAATTTAATTTAATCTTTGTTTAATTTTTACTTTCTTTCCTCCTTTTATAGTTTTCTAATCAATTTTATTGCAATACATTAAGTGATAATTTTCAACGTTTATTAGAGGCTTTAAATTGCTTGGATAATACACAAGAGTATTGGGTGTCGGGCTTTCAAGAGCGTTGCACTTTAACGATAAAACAACATTTTTTATCATGCGGTCTATTGGAGGAAGAATTCAGACCGGAGGGTACCTTTTGGTATCACTTACCAATAAATGAAGCTTTGGCATTTAAAGTTGAGTAAGTGACAAGGAAAACCCTTGAGTCCTCCTGTTTTTGTGCGGTTTGTTTTTATGCGATATCTTTTTGTTCGATTTATTTTACATCGCATAAAAACCGAACACATAAAAACGGTATTAGCTCTATAGACAAAAATTTACTTAAGGAGAACGAATTTTCCAATATAATTTTTCCAGACCACCGAGTCATTTGAGACTCCAAAGGTTGCAAGAATGTCATGTTGATCAGGTTAATAGTGTTTGGCCTCATCGTGGTCCAGGCTCTGCGGACTTTGTTAAACTTTTAATACAATACAATGACAGCGTGGGAGTCTTCGATGAAGGCAATAATTTAATAGCGTGGTGTTTAATGTAAGTTATGTAACAAATTTGAAACAGTACTGAATTCTCTATTATTTCAGATTACCTTTGGGTAGCCTGGGCTTGTTGCAAGTAATTGATTCCCGTAAGCGTCAAGGCCTTGCTCAACTGGTTGTACGTTATATGTCCAAATTGCTAGCTAAGAAGGGCCTCGATGTTACCGCTCCAGTAGTGTTTGCTAATGTAGCCTCACGTTCCATGTTCGAGAAGTTAGGTTTCAAAATAGTTGATAAAGTTTATTGGATCAGAAAACCCGCGAAAAATTCTTAACCTTAAATAAACAATATTCTTATGCAATAAGTAAAATAAAATGTGCGAAATTTAAATAAAGCACGAAATTTGTCGCACATGGCATAGCATAAATTATTTTTAATGCGTTGTTTCGTTTAATAATATCTACTAAGCATTGTGAAATATTTGCCAGTAAATTAGCAACCGATAAAGCATGATCTTCTGTAACTAAAGGGATTTATTCAGCTATGGCACGTCTGTCATGAGCATTAAAATTAGCGTGAGCTGTTCGTGTATTTATAAACTGAACGACAAATCTGTGAAAAGGGGTTGAGTCATTTTTTTCTAATTTTTTTTTTTTCTATATAAATTAGTAATATGCTCTTTTGGGTTCGTCAACTATGCGCATTAGTCTATTGTGTATTGCACTCACCACGGTTACGTCTTTACTTGTAACCTCTTTTGGCTTACGCCAGTTGAGCGAGAATTCGTCAATCAATGTAAAGTGTAATCAGTCGAAGAGCCGCCTACATCGGAAGTGCAGCTAGAGGAAGCTTGAAGCAGACTAACCTAGCTTTCTTCTTGCCATGCTAGACTGACATCGCGAACCATGTCCAGCCGTTAAAGGCATGCGAAAGTCGTTGCCCTTACGATTATAGGCACACACAGCAGATCTCACATACGGCACGAGTATACAGACACTTATTGTATATATTTTGGCTATAGTCGAATTTTAAGTTGAGCATGTTACTTATATATTATAGATATAGACTTATATCTAGACGATATATAATAATTATGATGGAGTGAGGAAAGGTAACAGGTAAACGCTTGCTCAGAGAAGATTAGATCAAGATATTGTATGCCGAAGTTGCAATCGTTTATATTTTGTTATGACAAATGGCCATAACAACCTTCAATGTTTTCAAATGTCTGTTACGTTGGCAGTTTCAAAGCATAACATTTGAAATTTGAGTATTTCAAGTAAAATAATTCGGTGGGTAACTCTCGAATTTTACGATTCTTCTTAGATTTTATATCGTACTGCCAGCTTATGTAAAGGTGGTTTAGAGGAATGTCATGTTGTTCATTTGTACCATGTTTGGCCTCATTGTAATATGGGTTCTGTGGACTTTTATAAGCTTTTAGTGCCTTATAATTACAATATGAGAGCTTTCAATGAAAAGAACAACTTAATAGGTTGGTGTTTACTGTAAGCTCTCTTCAGAGAGTAATAAGAGAGGAATGTGGATACTGTTGTTCCTTAATAGGACAATTTGTTTTATTAAGCTCTAGTTTCAAGTTTTCTTAAAAAAAAATAAAAATAAAAAAACGCCATTGTCAACACTTTCGCAATACAGCTATAAGATTTTCATTGTTCTTAGCAGATTTTTGTTTTATTCATTCATACGTTTTATGGTGCCGGACAAGTAACTTGACGCCACCGCGCTGTTTGCATATGAGCCTTGAGCGATTTGCAAAAATTAGTGAAATATATTCTGTTATATGGTTGGATTGTAAGTAGACTTTAGCAAGTTGAAACTCTTGACCAGTTAAATGTGTATGACGGGTGTAGGCGTCATGAAAGAAGTACAACAACAAGTCTTTGTCGGCTTTCCTCATAAAATTTCATCATCGTGAATGTATATATGCCATAATAAAGTATTTTCGATATTTTGTCAAGTCCTTTCATTCCAAAATAAATCTGTGGATGACGAATGTACGCGTCATCGTTGAATTTTTGCGACACAATTTAATTGCGCATTTTCCAAAGAAGTTGACACAGTGCTATTATTTAAAAGTCCATTTTTGCTTTTGTTTTCTGGCTTAAATGATCCCTTAAATAGTCAAGAATGGCATACAGAGACAAGTTCTGGTGTGGAACAGTTTTAAATGATTTGATTTGAAATAAAATCTACTGGACTATAAAGCCAAACCTTAAGTGAGTACGTCGACGTGTTTACAATTTAGCTGAAAACAAATATGTGAGCAAGACAACAAATTCATTCTGAGACGCGTTCGAGACAATTTTTCAAATTTGTCGGTGCATATTTTCCGTCTGATTCCTTTAGCTTGTTATACGTACTCAAGTACCATTTTTCCGACATGTTGTACGAGTTATCGTAAGGGCCTATCCTATAGTCTTCATCAACCTGATTTATAGGCATATGCCTAACTGTTTGTTGAACATCGTTTTGAGTTAGAAAAAAGAATTTTTTTTCACGTCTTAACAGTATAAGTTTGTCCATGATTAAAGTCGAAATTATTAAATCCCGAGCAGTGTCGTCCATTTTCTATAAGCGATGTTTCCAAAATCCTTGAGATAGTATTTTAGAGCATTGTTAGGATTAGAAATTGTTCCGTAACAAAATTATACACACGTACGTATAAAACAAATCAGTTAATAAATTCGGAGGATGACAGGTAGATGACAGATGGCAAATCCATATGATTTTTAGATAGTGCTAAGCTTCAAAGTTTGAGACATTACTCGATTGAAATATCATATGGCTACGTCAACAGTGGCGACATCTATATGTAGGCCTACGGATGTATTGAGTTATATGTTTTATGAAATGAAAATTTTCTACGAAATGCGTACGATGTGCAAGGTATGTGGTACCATAGGCAATCTGAATATCGCACACAAGCTAGTTCTGGGTATTTACAAATTGGGACTCAAATTCTCTTTTGTTTTTAGATCCGTTAGTATATAAAAATAAACCTCTTCTTTTAATTTGATTCGAAAAGAAATATAACATGAATGATGAATACATGAACATTTTACCGCTTGTTACTCAATTGAACTTACGAACAAGTCCGAAGGGTTGAGTAAATATTTTGGGGAACTTCCACTGACAAGCTTGTCTAGTCTGCCTAACATTTAAACTTGTCCTCACATCTATATTCTTTTGTTGCCAGTCATAATATTGTATGAACGTCTTATATTTTATTTCGAAAACTTTTCACGATACGGTTTGCTATTACCTTTACGACTATAAACTTTCTACCTTCACGGAGCTTACTGAATACAAACAACTGTACTTATACAATGGGAATTTATTGAAAAGTGCTCGCATTGATACGCCTTTCGGCGTCTCGTTTGTTTATTTGGTTTCTACTTTATGTTCTTCACCTAAATTTTTCGAAAAGAAATGATATAACTTTCTCGATCGAAAGACGTACCGAAAGTGAATTTAAAATTTTTAATAGATGTGATATACGTTACAATCTTTCAACTTATCTGCAAAGCGTAAGTTCTTCTTTTAAGCTTTAAAAAGCTTCTTTTAATTAGAAGCATTAAATATAAGCAGTGTCTCACAGATGGCGCTACAAAAATTTTATTAATAGCACATGAACTTAACATTTAAAAGTGGTAAAGGAATAGCGACAAAGAAAAGCCAAATTGACTCAAAATTTTAAAAAATAATTGGAAAAAGATTTAAGTTTCCTTACATAATTGCGTTCTTACTTAGTTAGCAAAGATTCTTGCGGAATGCAAACAACAACAATGCAGACACTCCTATGCATATGTATATATCAGGTTTAGCTCACCAGGAACGTGTGTTGAGAATGCTTCGCTAAATAAACGCGAGCTGAAATGACTCAAAACTTGTGAAGTATTGACAATGCATTTTACACAAGAGTATCCCCCTATGGCGTATAATTTTGTGGGGCAGGCAGTAACTCTAACATTGAGATATACAGCAAGAAATAATTTTTGCTCTTTTTATAGCCATCACCGAAGAATGATTTCGGTTGTATTCATTTTGTCAAAACGTTTACAATATCGAAAAAGAAACTTCAGATATGCCATAAACTATATATATTTCTGATCAGCACAAAATTCTAAATCGGTTTAAGCATGTCCGTCTGTCCGTCTATGCAATGTATGTTGTAAATATTCTCTTGGTCGGCAGAAACGTTGATAGTGCTTGCCTTTTGATTGCTATTGAAAATAGACCAAACCGGTCTATACACGCGTCCACAGTAGTACGTAAGCTGAGAAGCTCTCTGTTTTTGAAAACGAATGAAAAATTGGGTTTTCATTACCCATAAACTGTAGCAAATAAATGTACAAATTTTTGTGCAAAAATGGGAAAAATTGACCACGCCTACTCAATATTATGGTGTAACAAAAACCTTTATAAGGCCCAGAAACAAACTACAAAAACCTCATAACTTATGTAAATTACAGGCTAGTCTCAAACGTGAAATGCATTTAAGCATGTCCATTCGTTCGTATGTCCACCTGTCCACCTGCCCAACTAGCGCGAGAATCTTTACCGCGGATTCTCGCGCTAGCGAAAATGAAGACATCGTCTACAAATTTGCAAAAGAATTTGGAAATGAGCTAAACTTTTCTATTGGCCACGCCTATAAGAAAAAAACTTTTATTTTGAAAATAGAAGAAACCAACTGCGCCCACTCCATATTATAGATCATAAGAATTTTGTTCTTTTAATTCTTTTGTCGGGTTTTTGGGATAAACAGTGATGGGTATAAAAAATTCGTTCCCGACCGAATTTAATTTTCTTACTTGTGTTATCTCAATATTACTTGAATTCCCAAATGTGACAAATGCATAAATTTGCGTCGTGCATCATGCATCCAAATATCAAAACATGATTTTTATATGATTTTTACTTCAGTAATACAATTCAAGTTACATGCTCAACTGTGTATATGCATAAACATATGCAATTAAATCATCTTTTGACATTTATGTATATGACGCAAAATGCGAATGCACTGATTGTGTTGATCCCTTAAGTTGTTGTCGGTAATATTCATAAGGAGCTGTAAATATTTGGCATGGTTGATATTGATGGCTGATCAGATTCAAATACGATTTTCTTCAGTTCTATTAGGAAATGGAGGGTAACTTGTATGTAAATCTTCTCCCGCAAAGGTTTTCTTCCTCAACAATTGTAAAGCAGAAAAACTCAAATTGGCGCGTACAGTATCCTGCACACGAATACGAAAAACCTAAAAATTCTGAAAAACTTACATACTAGTACTAGGTACGACATATAATACCAATAATATCCATGCAATGATAAAAGCAAAAACCGTAATCGGAGGTT